ATGTCTGGCTTAGTGAGGTTGACATTTTACAAGATGTCTACACATATCTATAATCATAATTGCTCCTCATGGCATTACAGCAAGGCCAACCAGGAAGATATATTTATATCAGATGTTCAAAAAAGCAAATAATGGCATAAGTTACTTGTTCAAAGTCAAGACACTCTCTTTGGTGTAGGTCTTCTGATTTCAAATTTAATGTTCTTTCTCTTTCCCTACTAGTTTTAATAACAAAATGCAGCTAAGATAATTTTGACCAGTTGGCCTGAAATTCTTCACTCTTATCTGTTGATTTTTATGCTAATAAACGCTCTCAAAATTCTCCATCATCTGCCCTGGCTGGTGGGTGCAGCTCAGTGGATTGAGCATGGGCCTGTGAAGCAAAGGATAACCAGCTGGATTCCCAGTCAGGGCACATGCCTGGGTTGCAGGCCAGGTCACAACTAGGGGACACATGGAGGCAACCACACAATGATGTTTCTCTCCCTCTCTTTCTCTTCCCCCTCTCTAAAAATAAATATATAAAATATTTTTTTTAATTCTCCATCATCTCTCTTAACTATTGTTAGTGGCACAAGTTAATATGTGAAACTAGAAAGTACACTGTTAGCTATTTGGTATCTGTACTATTATTATAATTGCAAAGTGTTAAAGTTATTAAAACATTTTGAAGAATTCTACATAAAGCACTTTTATCTGCTGCACAATTAAAGCACCGGTTGCATCTTAAAGTGCTCTCATACCAGATAATATGGAAAATTAAAAATTAAAACTAATTTATAATCTTTTAAATAGGCCTGTCTTCAATGTAATTGGGGTAGTATACTGAACACAAGGAATTTAGAATCTAGGTCAATAAAACTTGAAAAACAAAGACATTCCCTTTAGGAGAATATTAAAATTATTAAATTAAGTTTGCATATACCAACACCCAGAGGATTAATTTCACTTTGGACGCAAATAACGAAAGCAATTCAGACTCGCTCTACCACTCATCAAGCACTTTCTTCCTGCTCTTGAAAGTTCACTGCTATGAGAGATGACCCTGAAAACAGACAAATTAAAATCATTTTCCAAATGTCAAAAGCCAGAGAAAGCAGCAGGACTAGTAGTTCCAGGGCCTTCAGACTGACAACCTGCTTCCCTTCACTTTGCTCCCTCACGAGGAAGCAGACAAAAACAAATTCCATCAGCTTGGTAACCAGACTCTTCTCTGTTAGGTCATCTCTTAGTCCTACAGCGAATTAGTTCTGCGCTTGAAAGAAAGCCATTTTATTTACTAAAGTATATGAAGTTTGACTTCCTCCTTGTATGAAATGAGTATCTTTTGTTCCATTAATTACTTTCTAATAGGATATTACCTCTGGGAGAACATTAGCCCCTGTGTCACCTAAAGACTCATTGGGCCCCTGAGACCCACCAAGGTCCCTCTTTGCTCCCTGGGCTCCAATTCTGCATTCAAGCTGAAGTGACCAAATGCTTTGCTTAACTCCTTTGACATAAAGCAGGGAAGGAAATCCTCTGGGTTATTCACTAACAATAATGATATTAATTTACATAGCCTATCTTCTCTAAGGGCAAATGAGTATGGAGCTGATTCAAGAGACAGGTAGCAAAAAGAGACTGACCTCAAAGAATAAGACCAAGGTAGATTAGAAAAAGTGTACGTAACACTCTGCACAGAAGACAGGCTTTTGGAGACCTTCGACTGAACCTGACCTTAGTAGACACCCAGACACGTGCTTTGTTTTTAAAAGGTACACATTTCTAATGAATGATAACTTCACCACAAAGCACTGCACCATAAAGAGTAAATATAAGCAGATGCCTATAAGTTAAGTCATTAATTGGGTAATTCACCCCTCTCCCCTCCCCCATGATTTTGGCTTAGATAAGTGTTCTGGCTATGTGTGGCTGAAGTGGATTGAAAGAGGGGTGGATAGCTCTGTTTCACTTAACATTTTTGTATAAAAATGCTTCTATTTTATATATGTGAACATCCAGTAATAGACATTAACCATACTTGGGTAATTTTTAAAAAGCAGAAGAAAATTATTCTAGGAGTTAAAAAGGCTTCAGGAAAGCAACATATTTGTACTACAATTTGGGAATCTGAGTTCACATTGATGCAAACAGCAAAGGCACTGTGAACCACTGATTCAAGTTATCACCTGAGATTTATGATGACAGAGGATGTGACCAAGTTTTGAATACGAAAGAAAAATAAGAAGTTAGAGTTTTCGACTCTCCTTTCCATTGACTATTAAGTTCAGACTTGACGACTGAATCTCAACCTTACTTCAGTAGATATTAATCTTGGAGTGGAAATGGGAGGCTTTTAAAGAAGCATTTCTGCTACCATCAAAAAGCTTCTCTCTACAGTAGAACAATAATGTTGTGTTGAAATTTAGAAATAGAAGTATTAGGTCGTGTTAGCTGATTATGGTATTGGCATCCACTTAAGTTAGTCAGTTTTTCATTTCTGTCATTTTCGCCTGTTCAACTGCTGCCATCAAAAACGTTTTGACTACTTAAAAGGGAATACATCATCGTTGCCTTTCCCCAGTCTAACTGCACACCACTTTTCAAAGCAATAGCTTCAATCATGCTTCATAAAATCCCCTGCAAGTCCATTGTTGGAAACATAAATCAGCAAGCTAGGATTTCGGTATTTCTAAGGCAAGCCCAGGGATCACTAACTGGAGGCTTTTCCATGGCCCCCTTTATAAACAAATAAACAAAATTATGAGTTACACTAGATCCATTCTTTAAAAACTGCTCCCAGTGGTATGTCTGATACTTGCTGCTACATCCTTAATTGGAGAACAAAACACTAGCATAGAAGAATTGGACTCCAGCATCAGGCTTGCTGTCTCTAAGCATCTCTAACTTCATTAGGACACACGGCACAGAAGTACTACATGTTCCATTTCATGAAAGCTGGGTCTCTCTGATGGACATCTATGCCTATATGAGTATCATGCATTTTTACTGGATAGAGAGATCTTCAGAACTGTGCTCTCCTCCTTCCCTGTTTTATTGCAGTGAATATGGGCTCCCCTTCAGTCATGCTTCAGTCTTACAGTTCCTCTTTATATTGGCCCTGCATTCTGAATTATAAATTATGTGAATCTCAGTGTTAGACATACAGATTACATATACATATACAGATTCAAGTTATAGATGTCTGTATATGCTATTTGAACATTCCTAGATTTCTCTGGTATCTTTCAAATTCCAACACACTTAATGTCTACAATGATAAATTCACAGGCTCTACAACTGAGACATTTTTCTTCTCCAAATCAGTGACAATGTAATCATAAGTCTGTATAAACTTGCTTCCTATTATGCCCCCATCTTGTTCCACACTATCTATGCTTGGTTAATTGCAGTGGTATTTTCACTGCAATTTACAAGGACTGCTTCTTGGTATTCAGGAATACCTGTCTATACTATAAATGAACAACTAAACATCATTAGCATCTCTCCAAAAATTAAAGCAACGTATTTATAGGGTATAAAGAATATGTTGATTTTTGTTATAATAGTGATTGAATAAACCAAATGAGCTAATATTAGCTTCAGATGGACATTTCTGCAATTTTGTTACAACTGAAATTTTGCATACTCTGTATTATTCAGGGAAAATGAGCAGCACCTTACCAAGACACTTTACACACTATAGCAACATCCAGCGTTTGAATTCTGAACATAAAATCTGCATCCAATCGTGTTTCATCAGCCACTAACGCTATAGCTTTAGGAAGGAGAAGGGCAGAGAAAGGAAGGTTTCATATCCAAAATGTCAAGCCCTGCTGAAGACTGATAGAAGGACCAGTGAGTGTGGAGGAGCAGAAAGGGGCATTTCTAGGCTTAAAAATGGAGTTCTACCACCCCCTGCTGGACCACATGTCTTACACAGAAAAGGCTAAAAAAAATGCTTAGACTCTAATATAGTGGAGATATTTTAACTTGTCTTGTAATTTATTTTTCCTCAAAAAATAATTTAATGCTACACAAATAATACAACATCCTCTGCGATTATCACACGTCACAAAAATCACTATTTTCCTTTTCTTCAAAGACTTCCACCAATGCATGTTTTAACATTTTGTGCCCCCAATTAAATGTCCAAACTTGTCTGGATAGTTGAAAATGCCTCCATTATTATAAACATGTTTTATGAGAATGTGAAGTACCTTAAAAAGCAAAATGATTTCAAATCTACCTCTCTACAGATAAACAGAGGTAGCTTCCACAAATTCTCTCCCAGGTTATGCTAGTATGCTATTCATTTTTTTCCCTGAAGAAATAAAATCTACCACCAGTTCTCCATTACAAAACAAAATCCCTTACAGGTGTAAAAACAATCTGATGTTATAAACATTCTCATCCTTGATGTATTAGTGGGGGGTGGGGGTGAAAATGAATGACTGCAACACATCCCTAGTTTTATCACACACAACATCCACGGCCCCTCTCTCCTTTCTTAGTTTCAACATAAATAAGCCATCATCGTTCAGTTCACAGTCAGGAATTAGGGTTTTGGGAAAGGAGGGGTGTCTAAGAATTGCATTACTTTCACCCAACACATTATTTCCCAAACGAGTTTCATGCTGACAGTTTGTGCTGCTTCTGTAAAACAGCATTGTTCTCTTTCCTTCCGCAAGATATTTACCTGTTAATACACACCAACATGCTCATCCCATTTTTTGATAATGAAACCAGAGAAAGGCAAGATCCCAGGGAAAAAGAAAAAAAAAAAGGCAGTTTGCCTCAATCTTCTCCCGGATGCCCATCTCCAATTCTGTATTTTCTCTTATTTAAAATACAGATGCAATTGTCAACGGCAGCTAAAAGAAAGAGCGAAAATAATAGCAACAACAAAAACTATAACTTTAGTTCTTTCATTTCAATTTTCTTGTGCCTTCCTCTGCCTCTCTGGGTTGGGTGGAAGGGGGAGGGAAAGTAAATGCCATAAAGCACCACACTCCTACCTTGCCCGCTACTGACAAGCAACCCGAGCAAGTAGAAGGAGAGGAGGAGGCTCATGTTCAGGACGTGACACCGGTGGACACTTCCAAAGTTATTAAGTCCAGCCTGGAGCGAGAACCTTCCGCTGCCACGGCCGCCTCGGCTCCAGCCGCCGCCACTCCCCCAGCCGCCCGCAGCCCGCGCGCTCCTCCTCGCAAAGTGACTGCAAGCTCCGCTCCTCGCCGCACTATATCCAGGCAGCGGCGGCGGTATCGGCAGCAGCAGCAGCAACAGCATCGGCCGCCGCGACGGCAGCAGACCCGGGCGGAGGGAGGCGGGGGCGGGGGAGCCGGGATGGGAGGGGAGGGAGGTGCGGCCGAGGCGTATCCCTCCGCGCGGCTCGGCAGCCTCTTTCGCCAGGCGCGCCGTCCCAGGATTCGTCCGCAGCCGAGCACCGAATCACAGGTTCGGTTCCTGGTGCCTCCAGCCTCCGGATGACCGCAGCACGCGTGCAAGTGGGAGACCTGCGCTCAGCCTGTCGGTTATCCGCACACTGACAAACGACCCTGGGCCGAAGGGGCAGGGCAGCCTAGACCTCTGGCACTGCTGTGGCCAGTTCGCGGAAGGGGCCGCGGGAGTTGGGGCTGCTGCAGCTGCTGCAGCTGCTGATGCCGCAGGCAGCTGCCGGGCTCCGAGCTGCAAGCGCGCCCAGGCTGATGCGGAGCCGGGGCCCCGGGGACCCGGGGACCGGCGGCGTACCGGCGGCGTATTCCGCGGCTCTCCTTCCTTCCAGAGCGCGGGGTGGGGGCGCAGGGCCGGAGGGCTGTCTGCCTCCCTAGGCCTCCTGGCGGAAACCTCGGCCCCGGCCGCCTCCTTCCCTCGCTAACCCTGGCGCAGCAGAGGGGAAGCGCCTGTCCTCCGGGGTCTACACTGCCTGTCCTCTCGGGCTCCGAGAGGCGGCGGGAAGAGGTGCGCAGTGTTCCTTAACCATGTCGACCCCTGCGGTGGAGGTGCAAGGAGGGAGAGACAGCGGGAAGGGGGTGTTGGGGAGGCTGCAGTGAACTGGGCTTCTCCGTCAGCTTCTCCGTGGAGAAGTGCAGAGTCCTCCTTAGACACACTCCGTGGGCTCTGCCCCGTGTCCCGAGCGCACAGCACTGGCCAAGTCCCCGCGAGGGCTGCCACGAGAAAACACTCGGGGATGAGACGCGAGTGGGTCCTCCCCTCCCTGATACACACACCTGCGTGTGCGCGCCTGTGAACTGAAGTGATAAACCTCTGCAAGCAACCAGAGGTAACTCTCTTCTCCCGAAGGCTAGGGCATATCAGCATTTCTCTAGGAAGGGTAGGAAAAGGTTTGTCAGTTTGAGGTCAGACCTGCGGCAACAGCTAAGCAGGAGGCAGCATCCCTGTCCCCAGAGCCCTCGTCAGCCAACCGGGGTCACAACTACAGGCTCTCACTGACCCTGGGCCCTTTCGTCTGCACCTTCATTCTGCTTCCTTCGGACACTCGACTGCCTCGCCGCAGGCCCAGGCAGGCCCTTCGTGGTACCCGAAAGGGAAGCCAGATCGGAGGGGATAGAAATGCATTAGTGCTGGCAATCCAGGCCTGCTTCTCCTATGCTCACATACCTGATTGGATGCACGAATGTAAGTTGCATTGCCTACCGGAGGGCAAGGGTTAGAGGAGAAACGACGTGACACGGATAGGGCATATCCTCCCTTCGATATGTGCCCCCCAGGGAGAACACAATCTTCTCTATGCAGAAGATACACTTACTCGGAATCCTGGGTTGCGGGGGTGGGGTGGGGCGGGGTGGGGGACTGGGAGAGTGCTGGGCAAAGGCATCTCTCCACATAGACCTTGGCTGAAGTCCTCTAACCAATGACGCTTCTGGGCCTGAGAACCTCCTCTTCCCTGTCGGTTTTATAGAAGTATGTTTAGGACTATCTATTGAGGAAGTTCTTTTGCCAAGGCTCCCTTCCCACACCCTTTTTTTCATTCTGGGAAGCAGTAACTTTGCTTAAGTAAGTTCGCAGTCAGCTTTTTGCAGAAAAAAAGGTGGGCATAGCACCTTTATAGCTGTGACAGATAAATAACTCCTTTATTTTCACCAATTCTCGATTTCTCTACTGAGAATCAAGAACTGCTACACACACATACATACATAGGCACACATACAGAACCACAGAAGAAAGTTGAGAGGATACTATCTGTGCCAAATAAGGTCTTCACCACAAAACCTGCCATTTTCATTGCGATACCATCAGTGACCAGGTGCCCATGACATACACACATATGCATTGCTTGGAAATCTTGGTAATATCTTTCTCCTCTTTATTGTTGGAAGTCAAATCCTTTTCTCTCAGGCAAGAGTTGAACTATGCCAGAAGAGAATTTGACTAGTACCCTTTGAGGTAATTTCAACATTAAATCTTCTTAGGGTAGAAGGGAGGGAGGAGAGAGGGTAGCAATGATCCAACAGACACTAATGAAATTTCTGAGCAGAACTTTGTATCATGAGACTCTATATGAACTCCGTGTGTGTGTGTGTGTATGTGTGTGTGTGTGTGTGTGTGTAAGGGAGAGATTGCATGCGTGTATAGAAACAGTGAGTGGACAGTCTTGGTCCTCAAGAACTTACGAAGGTGTTACAGCTGTTGATCCTGCCCTCAATTTGTTAGCAGTCTTGTTGAAGAGATCACACATAAACACAAATATTGATCATATGAATCAGACTGTAAAACTGTCATAACAAAGGTGAAAGCAGACTGTCATTGTGGCATGGTGGAGGGAGTTATTTCTGAAGAGGGGGTTGATAAAGGCATGAGGATGCTCTGAAGAAATGGGGGAGACTAGACAGAAATTTGGCCAAGACAGGAGCTGAAGCAAAGCCTTGGGGTGTGAAAACACACAGCCTGGACAGAGAACCAAGAGAAATCTACTCCGACAAAGTACAGAGTGTAAAATACAAAGGTTGGATGGAGTGGGAAAAGGGTTCTAAGACCATTTACAACCTCTCAGGATGTAAGTCCAGGCATGCATGGACAAGAAGAGTCAGGATGGTTGTGTGTCCATCCCTGGATTGAAGGCCTAATTGCAAAGTTGTAAGCCCACTGAAAAATGATCAACAAGAGCTTTCATGGATTTTCTCCGTATGTAGCTTAAATCACAGGTGGCAAACACAAGATCCCAGGGCCGAATCCTGCCTTCCACCTTGTTTTATCTGGCCTGGCACCTATTTCTACCTGGCAACAGCACGAGCAACTTGCCCCTAGTTAAGGAGTAGTTATATTTACACAGTCTTAAAATTATATTCGGCCCTTTGAAGTCAACCACGAGGTTGACGTGGCCCCTGGTGAAAATGAATTTGGCACCGCTGGCTTGAACTGATGTTGCTGTGAGGTTTCAGTAGTAAGGTAACGCGTACTAAAGGGCAGCACTCCCCACATGTGCCTAAACTGCTTCTTAGCCAGTAAGACGAGTGGTCCCCAGGACGGCCTCAGAAGCACACCCATTCCCCAGCGCCGGGGTGAAGTACACAGCCTGACAGCTTCCTTCATCAATGCCACTTTGTAACAGATTGAAGATGCAAGGGCAACATGTAGAAAAGTCACCTTTGCCCACTGTCACCCTGCTCCCCCAAAAGCATGGTTCCTACTGTGCAGACACAGCGCTGTTAACAAATGTGCCAAGTCTCTGAACATGACTGAGCCACGTGTACCACACAGTTACCAAAGGGTATCAAGGGCATAGAAATGCATCGGCCCTCCTTTATGTGACTCATATTTTACTTTTAAGACACATTATTGTAGTTTCCAACTACTTGAGGGAATGCTTCAGAGGCCGAATGGGAGCTTTAGTCACTTCATGTATAAAAATAAGAGAAAGTGGAACCAAACTCTGGAATCTATGAAAAGCTGAGTGGTAACAAACACCAGCAGGACTGGATGCATCGTTAAATAAAAGCAAATAAATCTGTTTTAAAAGAATCGATCAAATGAACATGAAGAAGCAGCACAGAGATAGAAAATGATAAGGTGCGTTATGTGTGGAAATGGTCTTTTCAGAAAGATTCTGCCTCTCCCATCGGCAACCCGTCCTTGCAAAAAGCATGCAGGTACAAACCACACATGGATCCTCAACATGAATGGTGCGCTGAGAGGAGGATTTAAATGTTATGTCTGTTTGCATATGTTTGGTATTATTTTTGTTTAGTCTCCCTGACAGGATTCTTGTGTGTTAAGATTGTACTATTGGGAAATGGGGCATTCTGTATGTTCATTTATTTGTGAAATGTCACAAACCACGATACCTGTGCATTTACTTGCCTAGAAAATTTTCTGTTTTGACTTTGACTCTTTTTATTCCACAGAAGAAGAAAAATAGCCACGGTATAAAGAGGTAGTTCGCCTCAAACCTGTACAAAGAGATGACCCCCCTACTGCTTCTCCTTCTCCATTAATGCCGCATCTTCTAATGATCGTGTCTTTGAAAATAATTTCAACTTTCTTGATACAATGACATGTTAGGTGTTTCGACAGGCTCTTTGTGAGCCTCTGACAGTAGCTACTTTAGTGGTAAATTTAGATTTTAACACCTTTCTGTGTAAAGGCTTTACTTTCTTAGCCGTTCTATTTGAAAAAGTAAGAAACAGAAGAGAGAGATTTATGCCACCAAGGCACCCTAGTTGTCACAGATTCTTACTTTTTAATTTCTTTCAAGATACATGGGGTCATTTTCCTTCATGGCTACTTCATGTTCCCTCTGGGCAAATAACTGCTCACTTCACTCTGAAATTATGCAATAACTGCCTATAATTTGCCACTTACCAGAATAATATTTTCTTAACTCTGAGGGGTATTATATTTTTCTTCACCAAGACATCTCTGGCAAAGATAATGATGGACAGCTGAAAATGTAACAGACCTTTAACACGTAGACAAAATGTGACTGACACAACTTTAAGAATATATTTGGGATAAAGTGAGAAGGGGAAAAGGATTCCAATGGCAGCTGGCAATGAACCTGCTTGATATGACAAGGATCATGATGTGAAGCACTGGTTGCCCAAATATTGATCACAACAACTCAGAAAACATATTTTTGTCCATGGGGAGTATTGACCACGGTGATGTCTGCACAAATCCTATCAAATGGAGGGCAGTTATTATATGCT